TCAAGCTTTTATTCAGACTATGTATTAACACATAGAGACAAATTACAACACCTGTATAAAGATCTACAAAATAAACTAGAAATAAAGAAAGAAAATATCATAAATAAACGAAATACACTAGAACCCGATCAATTCCAATTCATAGTAGGACAAACTGTCTATAAAGCAAATCCTAAACGAAATAAAAAAGAAAATAAGTTTATAGGCCCATTTGAAATCACCGAAATTCTAGAAAATAACGAAGTTAGAATAATAAACAAAACAAACAAAAAACAAGAAATAATACATATAAAGGAATTAAAAACACCTGTTGTTGCAGGATCCTCACATATGCAACTGCAGACGTGACGTTCCACAACCTCAATAACAATCCTGGCCTCCTTCCACTGAAATTAGGAAACTCCCAAAACATAATTGACTATTGGACATTTGTACAAATTTATGACATAACAATAATAATAAAAGAATTTGCATCACTACAAAACAGTCTGAAAGAAATAACTAGTTCACTGAATAAAACAGCTTCTTATTATAGAGAATTTCACAACTCCTATAATCTAGCCTTCGTTCTAGAAAACAAAATTAAAAGTCAGATGAATTAAATAAACCCAACTATACAAACAAGAGCAAAAAGAGGACTAATCGATGGTCTAGGATCAATCATAAAATCATTAACTGGAAACCTTGACCATAAAGGCGCTGAAAAATATGACAGATTAATCTCCCAAATTTCAAGTAATCAAATGAATATGAAAACTACATTGCAAGAACAAGTAACTATCGTTCAAAAGTCAAATGATTTGTTTTTAGCTCTATCAAAGAATATCGCCACACAACCAGCTTATCTTAAAGTCACGAATTCTGCAAATTGAGAAAGCTCTCACTTCACTAGATTCCAAAACATCAACCATGGACCACTATTTTCTAATACATATGCTAATCACTCAGATAATCACTTAATTTCAAGAAATATATGACGTATTAGAAAGATTGCAAATAGCAACTACATTTGCCAAGTTGAATACATTTCATAACTCAATAATTTATCCAATGGCACTACATGAAGAAATAAAACTTGTATCAAATAAATTAAATCACGGAAAACTTCCATTTTCCACCGAATTAAAGAATACCTTGCTTTTCGAAAAACTATTGGAAATTAAAAGCTATTCAAAACAAAATCAAATAGTATTCATAATCGAATTGCCCATTGTAGATACTAATAAATACATATTGTATCACTTGTATCCATTACCAACACCTCATGGCAAACACTTCAAAATAATTTTCCCTCAAGCCAAATACCTTATCCTTAATGAGCTGAATTATGCCATCTTTAACGAAAACTGCATTGAAATCACGAACGGAGAATACATCTGTAAAGAAACCAACCCACTACCTAATGATGTACTACCCCCATGTGAAGTACAGATGCTGAAGTACAGACAAAATACTTCACAATGCCAACAACATGAAATCGAACTTCAAGACATCAAGATCGAGAAATTAGATCAACAAAAGTGGATGATAGTGAGCCCTAATCAAACAATCGCCATACAAAAGTGCGCCTCTAATCAAGACAACATTCCT